GTGATCAGTAGTTTTAATTTTAATACATGTACATAAAAAAGATAATAAAGATAGCTATTCTTTCCTCGAGGTAACTTGCAGTCATTGTGAACATTTAGTCTAAAAATCAGTTCATAGCTTACACAACATTCATTTCCGAGTTTAACCCATCATCGCCCGAAGTGTACCATTTTAGGTAAGCGTAAGGTGTTTAACATCGGGCATACCGGGATTATATAATGTGGTCAGTTTAGCATGAAGCTGTAGAAACACTGATCAGAATCGCTCGTTGATGAGAGATTGACACTCGGTAAATCCCCGTGTAACCTTCACTTGCTCCCTCTTTCTCCGAGCGAGACCGCCAAGATGATTTTCACTCATTAGCTCTGACATGCTAACCGTCTTTAGCAAAGTTAGTGCTAAGCAGCTACATCCATTGAATAATTTTTGCTATGCTAACTTACATTACATGATAGCTGCTTGGGAGAGAGTACAAACTTTACACTGCGTGTGGCTTAGCAGGTACACTTTATTGAGGCAAATACACACAAACGCGGATGAGGGACACTTCTACATGCTATCACCGAAACTTAGTGCTAGCCGCGCTGAAGAACATTAGCTAGCTAGCCAAGAACGTTAGCCTATCGTGAGCATGCCCCGGCAACAACGTGAACTTGCTACTCCGTTAGCCCCGGCAATGCTAACACTTCCCTTCATATTCGACCTGAAAGAGGCCTATAACTTACTGCCACAAACTTTAAGTATCTGTAATTTAATAACTTACACGTGCTCGTTGCCATTATTCATTCTTCTGGACGAGATCTCCATCTCAACGTCGGCCATTTTCCTCAGCTGAGGGGGCTTTTTCTTCTTCGGCTACTTTCTCCACATGCGTACAATGATATCAAAATACTGACACGTTCCTCTGGTGTTTTGGCGGCGCAGCGCAGTCAGGATTTGTGCACTGAAGTCTGTCTGTTCTTTGTCCACTAGAGTGTGTGCTTGTGTAACTTAAAAATTTTCATATTAGCCACTTACGTCTTGATGCATGCTCAATCATCCAGGTAAGTAAATCAACTAAAGTTGACGTTTCGTCACTCATCCAAGTGACTTCTTCAGTCTCAGCTGACTGCAGGTTCCTTCAGTGGGCTGGTTTAAGTCATTATGCAAATGTACTGTTTATAAGATTGGGGAAACCTGCAGTCAGCTGAGACTGAAGAAGTCACTTGGATGAGTGACGAAACGTTTCTCCCACAAAACGCTACGTCCAGATGAACAGAATCAACTTTTGGAGATTAGCCACTTACATTACACACATACACCCCCCCTCCCCGAACAACTGCCAAATTAAAATTTTTGTAAATTTTTGGTAATTATGTCAAATTTTTAAGTATCTTGAAATTTCAAATTATTTCTGAGTGAAAAAAATTCGAAATTTTGTGTTATTATCTCAAAATGTCAAAATGCTAACGTACAAATGGAAAAATTGCAGAGTAAGAGTTTTCTGAGATACGCAATTCAAGATATTAAGTCATTAACCAGAAATTTTAAGGTGCGTTACTCTAAATTTATATTTACTGTTTGTGTACTGTATGTGTTGTCCTGTATGTATATTTAAAGCGAGAGAATAGCTCTTTTAGCCAGTGTGACTGTTTTTAATGTGGCTTTTAATGATCTGCTATTTTGTATTATTCACATGTTTGTGCTCACTTGTCTGTATGCAATATAGTATTTGTTTTTTACTTGTTATATTATTATGTGTCGTATTTTCTGTAGCTTTTGCTGCCCTATTGGCCAGGTCTTTCTTGGAAATTAGATTTAAATCTCAGTGAAACTTTTCACTTGGATAAATAAAGGATAATAAAGACAAATGTATAATAAATACCCCACCTTGATCTTATTTGAATTTTCATATTTTTTCTGTATAAATAAATGGGCGACCTGAAGACTTGGATACAGGATTTTAAATGACCACATTGGCTATAGAAAGACTGAAAACATAGTCGTGCAAAGGACTGGCTGTTGGAGCCTGCTCGGTCTGCTTTTACCACACGATGGCTCACGAGGTTAATTACAGGTGGATGATCTGTAGTGGTTCATGTGGTTGCTGAGAACCCCTCGTGCGCATCATGATTGTGCACCTCAGTGTGCGCCAATAGTCAACAAAATGACACATGAATGATTACAGTTTTATCTCCAGTGCAAGATTTTAACAGCAATGATTTTGCGGAAGTTACTTAGTATTATTGTGGTAAAAATAGAACAAGTAAAAGCGTGTCACTGTGTGATACTTGAGTTCTTTGCCTGAACTTCATTGCCTTTTATTTACAGTATCCTCAGGTCATTGGTCAGGTTCTTGTACCTTAGAGGAATGTGCTTTTTGTGTGAGCTTGTTAAGCCACTTAACACTGACCTATGAATCATCCAAACATAAAAAGACACATAGCACAAGGGATGAACCAGTATAGTGCCTACACATGACAGACAACTTAGCAAAGATATTTCCATACATCCTAGCAAACAATATGAAATGATCAGCGGTTCAACACTTCTACACACTTCTATCAATAGCCTTTTTCCTATGGTAGTCATCTGACCTGCAAAAACAAAAACAAGTCCAGTATCAGAAAGTGGTAATCCTTCTGAAAAGGGGAAAAACAGCATGTGACTCTGAAAGATAGAGTTAAAAAAACACCAAACACCACATCTGCTTTATTGTGTTGCCTCATACAAAATGCAAAATAAGGTCAGACAGATCTGAGACATCATGTTCGCAACACAAAAAGTTGCGAGCTGTTCGGCGCACAGCTTTGTGAAACCGCATGACTTTCACGGATGCAAGCGCATTCAAGGGCTGGGCATTATCCACTTGTGACAGTTTTATATCAAGCAGTAAATTGTGGTATTGTGAGACACCTGTGGCTGCTCCACAACAGTGACAAAGTAATGGAAGCATGAAGACATAACGGCATTAATGCTGAAATCCTGGCAGATGGGATGAGATTTTCTGGCAAATGATGATACTGCAGATGGTACTATTATCATCATGTGTTTGATGACATCTTGATTTGTGTGTGCTTGAGTACTCTGAAATTTTGTTTACAAGTACAACAAGCATATACCGAAAAATACCCAACGCGACTTGAGTTTTACTGGAACCCCTCTCACGTAAATCCACACTGTATGTACAGAGTATAAACACACAGCGTCTCGGGATGTAACTCGCAGCCTGGGCCTTCTGCCGTGCAGCCTATCTCAGATTTATATGGTAAAGTTGCAAGCTGGAGGTCTCAAAACTGATTAAAGTCTCTGTCACAGAGACATTAGATATTCCATTAGTTCACAGCCCCATCCCAGTGTGCCCAGTAAATCATGGCAGTATACAGTACGAGGCAAATGTTGTATACTCCATTCTGCCGTGCAATCTAAAGACCAGTCTCTGTGTCTTACATTGTATGATTTATGAGGTGTGTAACTACTTATATTGTGTAAACCTTGAAGTTCTTGCCTAAAATACTTTCTGACACCTGCGTTTCATCAATGTCATTTATCTTTTTTTACTGTATTCATTTAACTTTGAACAAAGCAGCTTAAGAACATTTAGTTTTAAGATACCAGAGTGTCCATAAAACTATGTTGTCAGGCCTTGTTCAGATGCAGGAAACTTTATTTTAACATTTCCTATTTCCTTATTTTAGGTTAAAAATCTGCTTAAATTTTACATCTATGCAACTGTAAATCTAGAATAAATCTGACTTTAATGAGAGCATATAGAACATATAATGTGCCGTTTCACTGTTTGGCACAAGTGTCGAATAATAGCAGCAGTAAGCTGTAATGCTAGAAGCATAAGTAATGATTACATACTTTGGGAGAAGGTGCTGATCACAAGATCCTGTTTCAAGTCGAGAAAGTCCGAAGCGTCCTGACGATTGGTGCTATATTTCGATCCATACCCATAAATGATGAGACCCTTAATAAGAAAATTTGTCACAGAGTTAGAGCCAGATTGGATCGGGCTGTGACATGCCAGCTACCCAGAGGCAAAGGCAAGATATTGTGAATGTTCCTCAGTGGTTAGCTGCAGTATATGTCAAAATCCTAAGAACCTAACTTGAACCAGTTCACCTATAACAAATTTGTTTTCCTTCATATTTAGTGATTATGTCTTTTAAAGCTCCAGTCTT